GAAACTCCTGGCCTAGGCAGATGATCCCGGAGTACTACACGCTGGCACACCCCAATGCGCAGATTGACAATGCGATCTATTGGAGAGATACGAACGGCATCATGGAGTGTGGCCTTATCGACCCTCTGCAGCATGTGAACATGAGCATGCCTGCAAGCAGCCTGCTGGGGAGGATGGGGCCGTCAACCCTAAACCCTCAACCCTAAAATGATGAGTTTGCTGCCAACTTCGGGCACAGAAGACGTTTTCGCTTGGAACAGAAAGGTTTCGGAACGCTTGGGTCATATGTTGATGGAAAGGCCTCGAGATTTGACCACACTTTGGCCAGAGTTTGTGGGAACAAGCCAGGCCACGCGCAATCTGACTGACAGCCGTGTTTCCGTGTGCAGACTCTGAAAGAAAGCCGGCGTGGAGTGCCTTTTTTTGTCTTTAGCTTGCGGCAGACTGAGGATTGGGGCGGCGCCCAGGCGGGTAGGACTGACATGCCTCGACTATATGTCTCAACCTAAGTAACCCTGAACCCTGAACCCTTGCATCTGGAGAGAGCCGGTTCAGCCTTACCCCGCAGTGCTGTGGCTAGTCGGGTGGCAAAAAACCCTAAGCCGCAGCTTTGTTTTGCTTTTCGGAGAGTCGGCGTCGGCTCCACGCCCCAGCTGTCGAAAAAATGATTTGATAAGATTTGCTTGTTCTAAATCCCCCTTGGGAATTATTTTTGTTTTTGTTTTTCTAAAGCCCCAAGAGGATATGAAAAACATTGTTCTTATAAAGGTTCTACGGGGAGTATTGTCTTTGTCAGCACTTACATTCACCCAGCCCCTTGAAGGGAGCTCCGCTCGGGCTCTGATGGGGTCTCTTAGAAGGGGTCCTGAGCGATTTCCTTGCAGCGACCCAAATGTGACAGTGATTTCGCGAAATGGCCAGATGTCTGTATGCGTTCTAGACCTCACCCGAAACCCTTAACCCAAAGCCCTGAACCCTAAAGCCTACAGCCTCACCGCGACAGCTGGGAGGTAGGGATGCCGATTCCGACGATCCTTGCCGGAAGCTGGCTTGGCGCGGAGCCCGATTTCATGGAAGAGCACGAGGAGAAGCTGAACCTTGGAGCAACCAAAGCTTGGGTTTAGGGTTTTTGGGGTTTAGGGTTTGGGGTTTGGGGTTTAGGGTTTATGGCCTTTGGGAGTAGGGTTTCAGGCGTCTCTTGGACGCTTCGGGTGCTAGACTACACGCCGGTCTTCGGCGAAATGCGTGTCGGTATTGAGGGCCAGCTCGCGAAAGTATCTCTTTCAAGCCCAGAAAAGCTGGAACTTCCCGAGAGGTGCGCTGACTCATGCGCCAGGAGTTGAGGGCAGAGATCCTGTTCATTCTGTGCCCCTAACAATCATGTATCTTGTGGAAATCGCGTCGTAGGTGACCGACACTTGAACGGGAAGCGACCCTAAACCCTAAAGCCTAAACCCTAAACCCTAAACCCTAAACCCTAAACTCATCGGCCAGGAAGTTCACCTAACTTCACCTAAGGTGTAAGTGCTTCGCCAACGAGTACAAGGAAGTGACGGGCGTGGACCTGGACCCTGACTTGCTCTTTATGGACTACAAGCTGTCTCAGGCTGTTGGGAAATGTGCGCTACTTCAGATTAAGTGGGTTTAGGGTTTAGGGCTTAGGGTTTAGGGTTTAGGGTTTAGGGCTCCGGGTTCAAAAGGTCCTCCCGCCAGGAGCCCCTTGAGCCTGTAGCATGGACTGCTCTGGAGCGAGGTCCCATTCACCCGGGTCAGAGGTGAGACAAGACTTCCTGCTTTCTGCGTTCTCAGCAATCAACATGTGATGAAGGAGAGGCAGTGTATGGCGGTGGCGGCGGGTTGGCATTAAAACTCAATTGGGTGCCGTCCTTAACTGCTGCGATGCAGTGCGTACGGGAGAAATTCAGGCCCATACTTGCACCCTTGGTGTGGCCGGGAACCTAAACCCTAAACCGTAAACCCTAAACCCTAAACCCTTTAGAACATGTTTTTCTCACCCCCTATTGCTTCTGAAGCTGAAGACCTCAACACGCTCTCACCCTCCAGTATCCCTGTTGAGTCGGGAGATGATCCCCCTTATACTATCATCCCTCAGGGATTATAGTACCCCAATTATAATTCCAATTAAGGACTGTTCGTATAAGGACGAACATCCCAGCTTTTAGAGTCGCCCTAGGCAGGTTACCTGCTGTTCAGCTAGGTGTGGGAGGACAGCCACAAGAAACCTACACCCTAACACCCCAACACCCCAAGCTCGTGGAAATCCCGGCAAAGCCCTTAACAACCCCGAGGCACGCGAAATCCTAAACCTCCACTAAGCCTGAACCCTAAACCCTAAACCCTAAACCCTAAACGTGCAGAGCGCAGGCCTACTCATTGCCGGGGGTCTGTGCAAACGTGCAGTGGTGCACCAGGCCCGAGACTCAGCGAGATAGACTTTGGGGTGCGGGATCTCACAGGAGACCCTGCCTGGACTCTCGAAAAAGCTGTTACAGGTGTTGGTTGGTTCTTTTGTCAAGTTTTTTCTAGGTTGGTTTTGTTTGAGATTCTCCTTATTTGGGTTGTAAGAGACCCTATATATATATATATATACATACATTATTTGTTCAAAGGGCACTGCGAGTAGGTCAAGGTGCCGGCAAACTCAGATATAGGGTTTACGGTTTAGGGTCCTCGCATCACTAGCCTGCACAACTTGCTTGTGTGCTTATCTTGTTTGTGAGAAGCCTCGGCGAACCCACCTTGGACGAAATGCTCAAGAGGCTGACGACAAAAGAAGCTTGGAAAGGCATCAAGGACCTTCTGCTGGGATGAGGGTGCCCTCAGCTATCACCGTGGAGGTTGTACTGTATTCCTGGTGCCATCCTTCTCTGTGGATGTCGTGAAGCATCTCTACTAGTTTATGATTGGGCCCCGAAAAAATAGTCCCCCAAATAGTAGGATCCCTTTGTAATAAGGACCCCAAGAAGGGTACTAGTATAAACCCTAAACCCCAAACCCTAAACGCTAAACGCTAAACCCTAAACCCTAAACCCTAAACCCTAAACCCTAAACCCCCAAAATTTCGGAAAGCGCCAATTCGAGAGGATCGCTTCGACACGCAGATCGATGATGTCTTCCTCCTGCGGTGCTACTACGTCCAAATCGAGTTCATGCTGGCCATTCTCCACTCCAGAACCTTGTTTAGGGTTTAGGGTTTAGGGTTTAGGGTTTTTCTGCAACCAGCAGCGATGACAGGACGAATGGGTTCGTCTGCTGTCGCTCTTTCAGGTTCAGATGTTTCTGTCTTGTAGTCCAATTGTAGTCCCGTGGGAAACGAGCGTTCGATAGCGGGTAAATTTTACAGTACCGACCCCCTGCAATAGCATGCAGCTGTGTCTTGCAGCGGCATATGTGCAAAAAACAATTGGCGGTGTTCCGCAGCTTCAACCCAACTGAGGAAGTCCATACCCTTACTTCCTAGAGTTCGCGAAGCGCACTGGCTTGATGAAGAAGAAGCCGTAGAGTTTCACGGGCTTTGCAATCACCCCCCCCCCCCCTGTGCTAATGCGCACTCGCCAGAACTTATGCTGTTTTGGGTTTTGCAGAAGATCCTAAACCCTAAACCCTAAACCCTAAACCTCCCGGAGAAGTCTGGAGAATGTTGTTCATGCACGAAGGGCACGCTGTAAGTAGGGCTTGATTCATCTATTCGAGTGGTCCTAGCTCATAGGCCCAAGAAGGCCTAAACCCCTAAACCCTAAACCCTAAACCCTAAAGCATCATTGATATTTTCCATGTTAGCCCGCTGCGGTCAGCTTCGTAGAGCAGGCTGCTTGCCTTGGGCAGTGAGACAGAGGAGATCGGAAGACTTTTGCCTTGACCCAAAGAGCCCAATATTCCTAAATTAAGGAATATACCCTAAATCATATAGGGACCCACTTAATATGATTTAAGGTATATGGCTTAATTAAGGGATATTGGGCTCTTTGGGTCAATACCCCTAAATCATCCTAAATCAAGGTCCATACTCTAAATCATATTCAGGATCCCTACATAATCCAAGGTCTATGCCCTATTTCTAGGGGAGGTCTATACTCTGAATCATCTTCAGGATCCCTACATAATTTAAGGTCTATGCCCGAATTCAGGGGCATTGGGGGGTGCCTGGGGAGTGTTTATATGAGAAGCAACGGCAACCCTTCGCTCTCCTCACTCTCTTTGGTTAGCTGCGCGTAGACGGCGCAGAGTGTGTGTGTGTGTGTGTGCCCCGGCCATCCGTATACAGTAGTAGCGCAAAGGTCGCACCGCACAGTAAATATCTGATAAAATGGAAGCGATATCTGCTAGCGTGCCTGATGTCTTTTGTACAATGAGTTTAGCAACTTTCATCAGTATAAATATGTTGCAAGACCAGAAGAGTAGCTAGTTGTCAGTTCTGGCCCAAGAAGGCCAAAACTGGCATTTTTGATATTTTCCATGTTCGCCCTCTTCGGCCAGCTCGTAAAGCAGGCTGGTCGGCTTGGGCAGTGAGGCAGAGGAGATGGGAAGCCTGTGGACTTGAACTCGTTTGTTATCGCAGGAGAGCTGTGCCATGTGCGATTGCAAGCAACTGCAATCCTTCGCTCTCCTCACTCAAAGAGTAAAGCTGCGAGTAGACGACGCAGTGTATATGTGTGCAGGCTTTGCACATAGTTGGCACAGGTGGAAAGCCATGGTGCCGGCCGCTCCGGCAATCCGTAGTAACTTGCTGGTCGCAGCAGCCACCTCCTGAACAAAAAGCTCCATGAGCATGGAGCTTGCTGCCAGGGCAACGTTGTTCTGCGTCTCTCTTGGGCCATATCACCTCTAACCCTAAACCCCAAATCCTAAACCCCAAACCCTAAACCCTAAACCCCAAACGCTAAACCCTAAACCCTAAACCCCAAGCCCTAAACCCTAAACCCTAAGAGTTGAAGCCTGGGATGGCAAGAATTGGACCTCACCCTGATGCGCACAGCCAGGCCTCCCGCTGCCGAGGCCTGCTACCAGAGCTGGAGGCCATACCGAACTTCTTGATTTGGGGTTTAGGGTTTAGGGTTCAGGGTGGGTTCAGGGTTCAGGGTTTAGGGTTTTGGAATTGTTTTTAGCTAAAAAGCATAGGGAGCTTTCAGTCACAAACATGCAGGCAAGTCTTCGGTATCTGAGGTTTAGGGTATGCAGCGCTGGCCTATATTCTATGCCCTTGCTGTCTCAACAGTGAGGTAGTGGGTGCGATAGCCTTACTCATGGGTTCCCCTCTATACCACCCCCCCCCCAGTTCCACCCTAAAATAACCTTAGTTAGGGCGGGGGGGGGGGGTAGTAAAGACGGGGGTAGTAGGGGAACCCAGGATTGCATACCCCAGCCAGGTGAAGTCACTGGGAGAGGATGCGGCTTGCAGCTGGCTCTCTTCAAATGACGTGCACGTACGAGAACTGTCGCCAAAGCGTCGGCAATGCTCAGTTTCCCTACAGGCTGGGCCAGATTCAGCCACACACACACACCCTTGGGACATCTCTGGTATGGTGTGAAGAAATGTCTACTTGAAAAATACCCGCGGCTGATTTCAATTGAGGCCTTTCTTAGTCTCCTGATCGAAACGGACTACATTCCAAGAGTTGAGACCCCAAACGAGACTATTATTCTTTAGGTCAACCCCCCACATCCAGATCCCTAAGCCCTAAACCCGAAACCCTAAGCCCGAAACCCTAAGCCCTAAACCCTAAACCTCCACCGAACCATCCCAACATGTCCTACCATTGTGTCCTCGGACAAGTCTTGGCGATTAGCCGAGCATATTTTTCCGGTTGCCGTAACATTGACCCCGCATTGCTGATGGCTAGTCGGGTGGGAAAAAACCCTAAACCCTGAACCAGCAGATGGCCCCAGAATTGTAGGCGGATGCCTGTGTTTCCACATGCCGGCTGCAACTTACACCTTTCAGCCACAAGCTCGCCACCATGGTCACGAAACCCAAGACTTCCGGTTTAGGGTTTAGGGTTTGGGGTTTAGGGTTTAGGGTTTAGGGTTTAGGGTTTAGGGTTTAGGGTTTAGGGTTTAGGGTTTAGGAGGTTGCTGGAGAGGTTGTTGGTTGCAGGCCTAAGGCAGCGCATTTATGACGTCCCGTCGTTAGCCGTCTGGCCGGGGAAAATGCCCACCGAAATTGCAATGTCAAACTCTTCCACACTCACCCTGCTGCATCCTCAAGCCTGTTTCTCAGGATCTCTGGTTTGGTTCAGACGTCTTCGTATGAGCTGCGATATGAAGCAGGGTTTATATTACTGTCCTTGGTGAGTGTATCTACGGTTGCCTTGTCTTGGTGAGCGTGTGTAATTGGTGTCCTTTTGGGGATTCGAGCAATAAAAACCTTACCTTCATGTGGCTCTTTCAGAGCGGCAAGGGCCATGGCCATTAGAGCTGGCAGGCCATAGCCCTAAACCCTAAACCCTAAACCCTAAACCCTAAACCCTAAACCCTAAACCCTAAACCCTAAACCCTAAACCCTAAGAGGAGTCCTGTGCTGCACCGTGTGGCTCAACGTCGGAGTGCTTTTTAGCTGCTTCGGCCTCCGTGGCTCCGCAGCCATCGGACCAGCGGCCCCCTCCTGGGGGTCTGGAGGGGGCCGTGTTCTCGAGGAGGGGTTGAGGGTTTAGGGTTTAGGGTTTAGGGTTTAGGGTTTAGGGTTTAGGGTTTCGGGTTTAGGGTTTAGGGTTTAGGGTTTCGGGTTTAGGGATCAGGGTGAAGGGTTTTTTCCTTGGGGAGGGGGGGGGGGAGGGCTCTATTGGGTTGAAGGTCCAGGAGCTGTGTCTGAGGCTGAGGGGTTCGGATCTGGGCTTGATGTCTTCAAGCGAAGAACTCGCTGTGCTGGTGTGCGTTTATGTGAGCTGCTGAAGGTTGGTTTTTGTTTCTTTCTGCTTTCCTTACAAAGTTTTTAAGGGACATGATACATAAACATGTTCAAAGGCCGACCGAGTCTGCCCAGACACATGCAAAGCTGTTGTAGGAGGGGTCGGTGCAGGATCCTGACGGAGATCCTCGGCACCAGCAAACTGCGGGCTCCACCTCTCGGACCTCTATAGCATGGTCGGGCCCTCGGGCGAAACTGGTTTAGGGTCTAGGGTTTAGGGTTTAGGGTTTAGGGTTTAGGGTTTAGGGTTTAGGGTTTAGGGTGAGAGTTGTCTTATTCGAATATGTTCCGCATGCCATTGTTGCTAGGGTTCGGCGTCTCAGTCAGTAGGGCTGAGTTTACGGGACTCTGGGCAGTGTTCCGGGATGCCCTCAGTCCGGCTGCAAAAAAAAGGGTTTAGGGTGAGGCGAGGTTGAACACAGGCTTGGTGTGGATAGACAAGAGCACACGCTCTTTGCTGGCCATGGCATGCGGAACTTGGTCGCGCCGCACCCTGAACCCTGAACCCTAAACCCTAAACCCTAAACCCTAGACCCTCAACCCTAAACCCTAAACCCTAAACCCTAAACCCTAAACCCTAAACCCTAAACCCTAAACCCTAAACCCTACTCTCTTATCCAAGCATGCCAAGAGTCAAGACCCTTCATTCAATCGATAGGCGGCTTTGAGGTTGTTAGGTTGTTGTTGGGAGTTTCACCTGGATCCCAGAGACTCCAAAACCCCTGAATTAAGGAATATCCCTTAAATTTTAATAGGAACCCTAATATGATTTAAGGTATATTCCTCAATTAAGGGGTTTTGGAGTCTCTGGGATCCAGGGGGTGAGAGTCAAAGTCTTACTGATGCTGCGTCCTCCAATGCCAAGGCCGGCGTCACAGCTGTGGAGGACAGGGGGGCCTAGCAAGCGCAGGTCACAGAGTCACTACCGGAAGTAGATTCACGAAGGAAGCAGGTGATTCTTCAGTGACTCCCGCTGCTTTCCATTCACAACCCGCCGATAAGATCCAAGCCCCGAAAGCCCCCCTGCAATACAACTAGCATCAATAAATGCGGTTTTTCGGTCTTTGGATGGTTCTCCAGAATTGGCAGTTTCAATGTCAGACCCTCATCTAGCCTGAGGCTTGGGTCTTCTTGCATTTGACACATGGCATAAGACCTCAGCTGGGAAGCAAACCTGCTGAAAGACGGTTGATGAAGCTGAAGAAGGTCCTCTCAATACCCAATTCCGTATCTGGCTCAGAGACCCAACTCCGCGATCCTGGTACCCCATGCTCCCACGCAGCCATCGCAGGACGAAGCGGGCTTCAACCAGGCGTGCCGGCCTGAGGGATCACTGCATCGCTTCTGGACTCAAGCTGTGTTTGCCCTTCTCACGTGGATGTGAGCTTGGTTTGGGGGGGCGCTTCACTTGCCATGCCTGTGCACCAGCGAAGACGGCAACAGGCATTCCGCTGAGTCTGTGTAGCCGTGCGCGCCGTTGCCAGGGTCGTTCGGCTCACATGGTACAAGCACCGATACTCCACTACCCAGCATTGACGGTACTTCTTTGCAGAGATGAAGGGCCGGGCAACGGAAAACCAACTCACAACCAGAGTACATGGAGTGACTTGCAGGAGAAGCAAACGAGCTTGCAACGAGAATGGTTTCTCACTCTAAGCTCTCACAAAACCACCCCTAACTCACACTATCATATTGGGAGCTTGCTTAGCTGTCCCACAACACCGCCGTTCGCCCTCGCGATGCCGAATGGAACCTTGGCCAGGAGAGTCATATCAACTAAGAAGGCAACCCCTTCTGCCCCCGCCGATGCACAGAAAAATGGCACAAGGAGCTGTAGAGACGGTACGAGCCTTACTAGAAGCCGACGCTTCTCCCCAGCTAGACGTGAGCAGGCTTCAGCCGCCCCCTAAACCCGAAACCCTGAACCCTTTTTGCTGAACCCTAAACCCTACTGTAAACCCTAAACCCTAAACCCTAAACAGCTATCTTGCAGCAGGATGTGCTCCCATATTAGTGCTTAGAGATGAATCCTTGGTCCACCGCCGTTCTCCGACTTGCAGCCTCGAAAGCTCAGGCTTTGTCACCAAATGGCATGACAGAGGATTTGGTTTCATTGCCCCCGAAGGTGGCCGGGCTCGAAGCTTATGGGGTGGCAGTCAGGGTTGGGCTCTGGATGGCTCTGGCACCACACACAGAAGATGCAGGAGTAGGCCCTGATTTACTTTTTTCGGTTGGGGTCCCTTATAATCCCCTTAAAAACCCAAAAAGGGCACGCTTTCTATTCCTAGGTTACCCCTGGGCCTAGTGTCAGAACCATGCCTTTGACAAGAGAAGCTGGGCTACTAGTGTTTTTTTTTTTTTTTTGGGGGGGGGGGGGGGCGGGTATTCCGAGTTGTTGGGAATCTGTTAAGCTGGCACAGCGGCCAAAGTAAGTTAGGGCGCACGGAGCTCCGGCTGCGGAGTCTCAGGAGCCCTCTAAGGGACGGCACAGGGCAGATGCGCAGTCGCTGCAAGTTTAGGGTTTTGGGTTTAGGGTTTAGGGTTTAGGGAACCCGGACAATGCGAAACGGAAGCCAAGGTGGGGGTGAGGATGTCTTTGTACATGGCTCCGTATTACGTGGCGATACCGCCCTACAAGCAGGCCGCCTAGCTGCGATTGCACCCAGCCACAGGTCGCACACTTGTGGACCCTTGTGGACCCACACGAGGGGATTTCAGGATACTTCGACCCTGTGGACCCTTGTGGACCCTTGTGGACCCTGAGGGGTGGGGATTTCAGGCTCAGGATACTTCGAGCCTGTGTTCTGCATGTCGGTGGGAAGTCGACTACCCTCCCCCGTGCGCAGGAGACCGTGTGTACTACGAGACCCGCCTGGCCAGGCCCGGTGGTCGGCCACGGCCTCAGCTTGGGGGATTCATCCATTTGATGCTGGAATTTGGGACGTTGGGGTTCTCAGACAGGAGGGTTGAGAACGGACTGTGGGGCTCATAGACATGTTGAGGGGGAGGAGGGAAGGGAAGAACTGGAAGGAAGTGCCTCAGGTGAGAAGGTCAAGATAAGCAACTTGATTAGAAACACACGCAGGTTGAATTGCTTGTCCCCCTTGGTGCAGCACCACCTAAACTACATTCATCGCGTCATGAGTTGTGGCTTGGGGTTGAACAGCATGCTTATAGCTCCCCACCCCACACGAATCGAAGGAAGCAGGGGCACAAAGCCAGCGCAATAAGCTGCCGGCGGGTTCAGGACAGCCCCTTTTTTTTGAGCCGGGGGGGGGGAGCATCCTTCGGGGGTTGCAGAGATGTTCCAAGGACAGGGCTTGGAATCGACTACGTATTTACATGCCACAAGTTTGAGAGTCACTACTGCATCGTTTGGACCCAGCACACGCGCGCAGGACACGGCTATGACACCGGACTTTTTCGCCTTTCCCTCCCACCGGGACGCAGCCGTCTCTGTCCAGCA